GAATACAGTTAAATAACTCACAGTAATGACGCCGCCAAAACTCAGCTATCTTATCAGGATCAGAGATTCCATCAATAGTATGAGGTACAGGGGATCTACTGTTGTTAATGTATTTGACATCCTTCCAAAATGATTTCATATTGTTCGTTATGAGTTTTTTCGCCAAAGAGTCCGACCTCATCTTTTGTTCATTTTTCACAATAAACCGAATGGCATATTTATATTTCGCAGTTGCACGCTTTTTAAGCTCAAATATTGGCCCAGATCTGGGTTTACCGGCAAGAGCCCAGGAAGTTGTAACCTCCCGGGCTTCAGCCTTAAATTCGGCCATATAGGTGCTCCAACCAGGCATAGTTTTACGTTTCCCTTTATCTTTGTGAAACGGCACACTCGCGTCCAACAGCGCCCGGACAATACCAAGATACATGGAAGAGATATCTGTCTTGTGGTTAGCATCTGTACTTTTAGGATCATTACACATAACGGCCTCTCTAGGTAACGTGATATCGCGTAAACGCTTATCAGTGATATTATAATAACTGGCAAGACCCTCAGGAGAAAGAGGGGACCAGTCCAAACCTCCGTGTTTGTGATTAGACTGAGTTAAAATAGATATAATATCAAGTCTCACAGTCATCTTTACGGGAATATGATCTGAGAAGGACATGTTGTAAAGAATGTCTATATCTGCCAAAGCGGCATGTGCAATATTGGACAGTAATTTTGAATCATAATCATATTGTGATATAAACTTCAAACATATTACTATCCCCTAATTCACATATTTTGTTTTAAATCACGCCGTTTGAGCATATTGAAAACACATCTGAAAGAAAAAGAAGGAAGTGGCTGCTGTTGGAATAGGATGGTAACAGCTGTGCGACAGAATAAGGAAACAAATATAACAAAGCATTTTTTTTGCCGTCAGACATGAGACTCCAAAAGGAAACGGAGACAGAAAAGCAGAATTGATTTGACAGCTTGAGCTTTATTGACTTTGATAGGAAGCTTTGAGGCTGACAGATTGCTAATCCTATCCAGGTTCTAAACAAACAAACAAAAAATTCAAAAGTACAGTATATCGCAACCATGACAGGATCATGCATGTGTGTGTGTGATGTAAACCATATGA